GTGAAATCTGTTTCTCTGAGTTTTCTAACTCTAAGTTAAACTTTTTGGCTGTACACATCCAAAAGAATCCTAAATGAAAAGATGTTCTCAATTCTTGGGACAAAAAGCTTTGCTTCTGTAGTACATCAAGAGTTATGAGGAAACAGTGGCAAACTGTTGGAGATAATGGACCAAACTCTGGGGTTTACTTTGAACTAAATTAAGTGGACATAATTATTTATGGGGGAATAATTTCAGATATTAGTAATAATATGGTTTATTATATCTCTCAGCTAGTATGTACTCTAATAATGTGCAATGAATTCATACCCCACCAGCTGAACCTAGAGATATCACTAGTATCTTACTACCCTCATTTTCTTGGTCCGTACGATATAAGTTACAGAACCTTGTTTTTTCCACTCAGATTTATGGTTCACACGCTTTGCGTTTAATTGGGCAATAAATCCAAGCAGAAAAAACTAGGTTTGTACCATACAGTACCAGTACAGACCAAGAACACAAGGTTAGTAAGAGGTGTAAACTTTTCACTTTTAATCACACTTTTTGAGAAAAGCCTTTAGACTGAATGAAAACCACAGGCAAATGAAGCTTCTCTTAAATTTAAAAAAAAATTCCCTCTGCAGTCATCCTTGTTGTGTTAAAGTCACATGCTAGTCCATGGCTCATGTTTTTTTTTTTAATTTTTTGATTTGTTTTATTTTACACAGATGCCCATATTACAAGAGCTCCTAGCAAATTAACTGGTTTCTCTCGTCCAACTTCAATAGTTTCTACATTATCCACAGTTAGTGAGAGTGCACAAATGGTGAAAACATAGCACTTAGTAAATGCAACCATTATTTACAACCATAACCCTTTCAGTACCATGGGTGACCAATACAGTATTTTCTCCTCACAACACAGACATTTCCAAGTAGAATGTGATAATAATAAGAAGGAAGAACATGTAGTGGGACATTTAGAGCAAAATTTTAGGGTAGTAAAATCGTGAGAATTGTCTATGAGAGATATTTGAAAGACTGATAATGAGTTCTCAAACTCATTGATTATTCATAAGGTGATCATCCAACCATGACATGCCAATTTCATCACCTGCTTGTGGTTTGAAACCCCGGTGAAAGTTTCATATAATATCAAACCCTTGAGTTTGATAAAG